ATCAAGTTATATGTGGTACACAGGGATAAAACAAAATATGTGTGAGATTTCTCACATAAAATTATAAATCATTATTGAGATAAGAGAAGAAATAACTAAATAAATAGAAGGATATACCATGTTCATGGATTGAAAAATTCAATATTGTAAACGTGACAATTCCTTCCAAATTCACTTACAGACTCAAGATAACTCCAAAGAATCCCAGACATCCCAACATGTTTCTTTTTTTTCCGAGAGGTTGACTATTTGAGTCTATAATACGCAAAGGGCCCAGACTAATCAAGGGTCTCTTGGAGAAGAAAAACAATGTTGGAAGACTTGCTTCACCATATACTAAAGCCTATTATAAAGGTACAGTATTTAAGACAAGGATAGCAAATAGATCAATGGAACAGAATGAAGAATCTGGAAACAGACCCATAAACACTTGATTTATGTAAATAGCAGTATTTTAGAGCAGTAGGAAAAATGGCCTTTGCATCAAATGGGGCTGAATCAGTTAAATATCCATTACAGAAAACATGAAAATTGACCCTTACTGCACACCATTGACAAAATCAATTCTGGGTGGGTTGAAGAGCTAAATGTGAAAGGCAAACTATAATGCTTCCAGAAGATACTAAAGGCAAATATCTTTACAACCTTGGGGTAGAAGATTTTTTAACAGGCCATAAAAAAGAACTAATTAAAAAGGAAAAGATTGATAATTGCTATGTTAAAATTACAAACTTTTTTCATCAAAAGCCACTTTAAGATAATGAAAGGGCAAGTCACCTAGTGGAGAAAATACTTGCAACACACATAGCTAATAATATATAATACATTTCTTAAAATTAAAAAAAGAAATAGTTAGTCAATTAAAAATGGGTATGTCACAAAAGGATATAGCTAAAATGGCCATTAAACACATAAAAATGTGATCAATATCATTATTAACCAGCAATATGTGACCTATAATCAAGTGAGTTTCTACTATACACCCATTAGAGTGCCCATGTGAAGAAGACTGATTATAGCAAGAGTTGGTGAGAATGCAGAACAATGGGGGTTCTCTTATACTACTGGTGTGATTGTCAGTTGGTATAATCACTTAGGAAAACAGTTTGGTACTATCTACTGGAGTGAAGATATGTGTACCTTAGGACTCTGCAATTCTAATCCTAGGTATATAGCCGACAGAAAAGCATGCAAATATACACTAAGGCATATGCAACAATACTCATAGCAGCAATTTCCAAAATAGCCCCAAATTGGAAACAATTCATATTTGTCTATTAAAAGTAGAACAGCTAAACCAATTATGGCATATTCACATACAGGCATACCTTGGAGATATTGCAGGTTTGGTTCCAGACCACCACAATAAAGCAGATATCACAATAAAGTGAATCATGAATTTTTTGGTTTCCCAGTGCGTATAAAAGTTGTTTACTATTAAGTGTGCAACAGCATTATGTCTAAAAAAACAATGTACACACCTTAATTAAAAAATACTTTATTGCTAAAAAAATGCTAACCATCATTTGAACCTTCAGCGAGTCATAATCTTTTTGCTGGTGGAGGGTCTTGTAAAAAATGCATTATCTGTGAAGTTCAACCAAGTGAAAAGCAATCAAAGGAGGTATGCCTGTACTGGAATACTACACAGTCACGAAAATGAATGAATTACAGTTATATTCCACAACATAGAGGAATCTCACAAATATAACAGTGAATAAAATAAATGACCCAAAAAATTATACGCTACATGATTCCATTCATATAAAGTTCCCAAAACCTGCGCATAAGAGGCAAAATCTAACTATAGTGTTTAGGGATGCATGTAAGTGGTAAAATTATAAAGAAAATCAAAGAATTGTTTACCATAAAAGTCATGAGAGTGCTTATCTTTGGGGAGGTGGGTGAGGGTAGTAGTGATTGGGAAGGGACATGAGGGAGGCTTCTAGGGTGCTGACAATGTTCCATTCTTGACTGTGGGGGTTACAAAGATATTCACTTTCTGATAACTTACTGAGCTCAGACTTCTTATTTGTGCCCTTTTCTGTATATGTATTATATTTAAAAATAAAGAAAGTTAAAAAAAGTGGATGGAGGCATATCCGCAGATGAACCAAAATGGAAGAAGAAACAGCAGCTCAGAACATAACACCAAGGGTTTGCAGGGAAGTTCTTAAAAATTGTTCTATTCCCGGAATTATTTCTGTTTTGTCCAGTCAGTTATTCCATTTGTCTTGACATTATCCTTCAGCCTGTTGGTTTTCTTCATGTCAGTTATCCTTACAGAGATACTGTCTAAAGTCAATGGCACAAAAAATGTGTTTAACTATATAAAGTTTAGAAGGTAATCAATAAAAAGTTAAACATAAAATTGAAAGCATTTGAAGTAAAAGAGAGGGGAGGAGGACTTGAGATACACGCACATCTTTCACAGAGGGAGAGAGTAGATATTGTCTAAAATGATAAGCCAAGAAGGTAGAAGCAAATTATTCAGATACACCACAGAAATCATGAAAAGAATTAGAATTAATTTAAAAAATAGTTGCTTCTCGGGGTAGGGACTAAGGTAGGGACATGGAGAAGATTGCTTTCCACTATAAACCCTCTGGCCTATTTGATTTTGTTTTGTTTTTGCCATGAGCATATTACTTTGATGAATCTAATAAGACATGAGATTCCAGGTTGCATCATTCTGATCTACTTGATTTAAGAATTGCTTTTTGAGTTTATGGCATTATGACAAGCCAAAGAATATTATCCACAGTGTCTTATCTATGCTGTAGCTGACGTGAACACCATGTCTAAAGTACTATTAGGAGATACAGCTGTGACAATGGCTAATTATTGCAGACCTTATGAATTATGATTTTTATAATTACTTTTATTTCTTTTTAAACTTTATTTATGGATATATTTTAATTAGAAACAAGGCAGGTATACAATTACACTGTACACGGACAAGTGGGACGTTATGAACATTTCTATTCAACAGTTTGAAAAGCAGCCACTATTATCAAATCAAAAGTAGATGAATCACACCCGTCAGAATGGCTATAATTAACAAGACAGGAAACAACATGTGTTGGAGAGGATGTGGAGAAAAGGGAACTCTCATACACTGCTGGTGGGAGTGCAAACTGGTCCAGCCACTATGGAAAACAGTATGGAGATTCCTCAAAAAATCAAGGATAGAACTACCATATGATCCAGCTATTCCACTGTTGGGTATTTATCCAAAGAACTTGAAAACACCAATTTGCAAAGGTACATGCACCCCTGTGTTCATTGCAGTGTTATTCACAATAGCCAAGACTTGGAAGCAACCTAAGTGCCCATCAAGGGACGAATGGATAAAGAAGCTGTGGTATATATACACAATGGAATACTACTCAGCCATAAGAAAGGATGAAATCCAGCCATTTGTGACAACATGGATGAACATTGAGGGTATAATGCAAAGTGAAATAAGTCAGAGGGAGAAGGTCAAATACCGTATGATTTCCTTCATTAAGTAGTAGATAATAACAACAATAAACAAACACATAGGGACAGAGATTGGATTGGTGGTTACCAGAGGGGAAGGGGGGAGGGAGGAGGGTGAAAGGGATAATTGGGTACATGTGTGTGGTGATGGGTTGTAATTAGTATTTTGGTGGTGAACATGATGTAATCTATGCAGAAATAGAAGTACAATGATGTACACCTGAAACTTTTACAATGTTATAAACCAATGTTACTGCAATAAACAAAAAATTTAAAAAAAAGTAGATGAATCAATGATAGAAGTGAAATTTCTAAACACATATTAATAATAATGTTAAACATCTATATATTCTAGATATTATTTTTTAAACAATAAAACAATGTTCATTTGTGTTTCTTCTGCTCTACTTCATACCTCATAAACATTACCTTTGGGGTGAAGATCTGGGAAAAAAATCAAGGCTCATTTTAAAAAGTAAAGTTTTAACTACTGAATAACTGGCTGATCTATTTCTTGTAAAATTACAATTTCTGAGATCTTTAAATGTGTCATTATTTATGTTTATAAAATGCTTATTAGACCTCTCCCCTTAAAAACTCTGATAGCAATTTTTTTTCTATTTCTTCAAGCTTATTTTTTTCAAAATCTGGGTACTCCCTTGTGTACTATCTGCCAAGTATCTCAAAGTAGGAAAAATGTTGAGAACATTTGTTCTAGACAAAGGGTCGTGTAGGGTTTTTTACATCACACAGTAATCTCATATATTGTTTTACATAGTTTTTTTTAGTTGCTCAAGAAAAGTCTGTTGTATGGAATCATATTGAGTATCATAATATATGGTATAACATCATTACAATAGGACTAGCCCAACCTTGAGTGAAAAATCAGAGCTTATGGTGTAAGAAAAGTGATTAAGCATGTATAACATATAATTGAAAGTAACTTTCCTGTCTTTGTGTATGTTTGTGTAACTAAGTGAAGCCTCTCCACTCATTCAAGGGGGGGCATTTACTGGATGTCCGCTCAGTGCCGGCTCTGTACACACAAAGATAGATGGGACAAGATCCTTCCCCTGTAGCCACTCACAGCCTAGTGGAGACAGCCGACCAGAGAATAGAAAGTTACAAAACAATGAGACATGGACTCTGACAGTTCCAAATTGTCTTTCCCTCTCACTCCTTTCTTTTTACTGCTAAGGTGATAGGGGTGTCTTGGCAAGGTGGCATAAAGCAGCAAAGGCTTTATCAGCCTAATAATTAGCAAGAGAGGGCTCCATTTGTCTCATAGAAGGAATTTGAAAGATTTAGGCCTTTCTGCCTAAACACAAAAAATTATCCTTGCCTAGGAGACCTTGGGTACACTCACCCAGGATGTGAGTACTCAGCAACGGAGCCCTGGCCCTGGGGAGAGGTGGGCAGGGTAGAAAGACCAGCAAAGGGGAAGGGTAATGCAGTGGAGAGATGAGGAGGAAAAGGACTCTTGAATTTTCACAGGGGCAGATTCTGCTTGGATTGACTTGGTGGGAAAAATAGAGAAATATTATCAGCATTTACAACTGGCTTATGGTGAGATTGTTACCCTGTTAGATGTTGAGGGCATGAATGACAGTTACTACTGTAGCGGAAGTGTGCTCAGCGTCCCACAGAGACCCGTGGGATGAGAAAAGGAAGAATTGTCCAGCTCAGGCTGCACAGCAGATGTGGGGAGGGCAATGGAGGCATAAGAAAGTGATTAGGAATCTGAACATTGTTCAGCAAGGCGCAGGCACAGATCACGTGTCCCAAGAAGCTAACTCCATTGCAGTGCTTTCTTAAAATGACGAGTCAATTACCATGATTGTTCTTACCCTCAACAGACTTGAGGGGCAGAAAGTATAGCTCAGTGGTGAGCAAAAGATGCTCCTTTTGAGGATGAGGAAAAAAAGAAAGAGTATGCTGAGTTGTCTTCCTCAGGGATAGAGTTCACCGGTGACAGAGATTTGTAATAATCATCTTCCCCATCAAGCACTTTGATTTGGCTGTAACAAAGAAAAGAGTTTTCAGCAGAAAACCAAGGCCACAGTCATCACTAGGGAAGCTAAAGTTGTGTACTTGGAACAGGGTTGGGTCCCAACACTGTGGGGAAGGACAGCTCAGAGTAGCTTAGGGTTTCCCAGCAGAGAGGAACTGGGGTCTGATCCAAAAAGTCTTTCACCTCTGGGTCACACACGGGTAATGGGCTCAATTTAGCGGTGTCTGGAAGTTGTGATCATATTGCAACTTTATTTACATGAATTAAGTTGTCGATCTGTCTGGTTCCCTCTAGTTGAGAAAGTTCCCCTTCTGACCTCCTCCAGTTCTCAAACTAGTACCAATTACCTACCTCACTGCTATTCTCAATCAAGATGGTAACAAACGAGCCACAAACTCCTTAGTGTCCTTTGTCTAACCATTGGGGAAAATTTTCCTTTGTGTACCTTTAAGGCCCAGGGGTAAGGTAATATGGGGGAAGTGGCCTATTTGCACTGTGTGGAGTGCTCTTATTTGTGGAAGAGTTTACTACAACTTGCTACGTGCCTCCAATTATGAGGAAAGTACAATTCCTCAGGATAATTATGAGAAATAACATTTGCCTTTAGGTGACAATTTCAGCCTTTTTGGACAGAATAGATTCAAGTTTTGTATACTTGCTACTGTGAAAAGTAGTTTCCAATGTCAATAATAGTGGCAATATCCCCATTGCATATTTTTAGAAGCCTCTCTGGAAAGTTTTGCATTTTCTGTAATATCACAAAGGACCCCTTCTGTTTACAGTTGCTTAGAACTAAGAAGACAGATATTTACCCAAGTTTTCTTGGCTTCCTCTTGCTCCCTTGATATTCTAGAGTTCCCTGTGGAGAGGGCCAAGAACACACAGTCAAAGCAAAGCAGCAAGTCGTTAATTTTTAATTCAAAGTGATTTTGTGTTGAATGCAAGCAGATGCTGATAATATCAGAAGTCACAGCATAATTTTTTTGATCAAAGGGCTCAAGTGAGCCTGATGAAGCATGCATCTTGCTCGTCTTTGATAAACCACATCAATTATTCACCGTGAAGGCAGACATCCTGACATGAAAGCAACAGATAAAGAGCCTAAGCACATGTTCAAGACGAGAGCATAAGAGAGTGGGGGTGGGGCTGGAGGGGCTAGAACAGGTATTAATAACAGAATTATTAACTGGAAACAAAGCCAGCGAAACAGCTTTACGGCCACTTTGAACTCACATTTAACTGGTTATAGTACGTGGTGTCCTCAGGGCTACTCAACATTTTGGGCTGCTGACATCTCCGGTGAGATGTTCGCTGCTTCTGTGCAAGACCATTTTCTGAACCTGCAACAAGATAGCAAAAGTTTACTGTAAGTCATCCGAGGTTTTGAGAAAATTAAGGGAAAAACTTCTCTTCCCATAAATGCACTTAGTAGAAATTGTGTCCCATTTCAATGGGCATGTTAGAGCTTTGCTAATATTAGGAGAAATATCATCCTGAAAAACCACACACACAGGGATTGCTAAGTGTAAACAAGGGCCACTGTCTGTAACATTGCCTTCATCTTTCTTATCTGAATCAGCAGTCAAGAGTGACAGAAAGCAAATTGGTTTGTCCACGCTGATGAAGTAGAGGTTGGTGGTCAGATGTGTAGAGTAGAGAGTACCCTCTTAGTGAAATAACTCAGTTAGGACAATGAAGGCAATCTGGGATGGTTTGCACCACATCCTACAGTGAGAGTTCAAAGACATCTGGAGCACACACAACTCTTGGGTAGATAAGAAGCAAACCTTTGGTGGGATACATTTTGGAGGGAAAATGGTTTGAGCTAGTATTTACTGAAATGCTTTGAACAACGCCATTGATCCATGCAATCTCTGGAGGTAGTGTAAAGGAGAAGGGGAAAGGATGATTGCACAATTTCATGGAGCAGCCTCTCCATCTTAGTCCTGATTCCAGAACCCTGGACCAAGAATGCACTGGAGATTAAGAAACCATGTGTCCAATGAAGTCATGGTTTATTTCCCTTCCAAGTAGATGATTTTCATGGAAACTGCTGTCCTTTTGGTACTATATCTGAATCAGGATTCAGTAATCTAACTTCTTGCCAACACACACAGACACACACACACAGCTGCCATAGAACATTGTTTATGAATGTCATAGTCTGGAGAAGAGATACCACTTTCCTGGACCAAGTATACATCATAAACTAATTATTTAAAAAAGAGTTGGAGGTTTTTACTTGGAATCATAGTTTCACTTCACTAGAGATTCCTACTATTTAAGGAAATTCTGGGGAAATTTTCTATGTAAAGAATGACTCAACAAGGACCATTATAAATAGTGAATTATCATACTTATCATCCTAAGTATGAAGTTTTACGTCTTTATTTTTCTTGAATTGGAACATATATCTATGACTAAAAAAGATTATTAGAACCTTACAGGACTTTAGGAACTGTCCATTCTAAATACTCATTTTTTCAGAAAAGGAAACTGAGGCCCGAAAATGTTGAATGACTCATCCCAGATCAAGTGGCAGAGTAGGGACCCAACCCTAGATCTCTTACCTCCTGTTCTAGCAGTTTTTTCTTTTTAAACTACAGCATGTTGTCTTTCTTAACAAGTTTTTTTCTTTAATTGATGTTTTAACAGTTTTTAACATTGTGAAATTTTGGGTTGTACATTTTTGTTTGTCCATCACCATATATATGACTCCCTTCACCCCTTGTGCCCACCCCCCACCCCCATTGCCCCTGGTAACCACATTACTGTTTTCTCTGTCCATGTGTTGGTTTATATTCCACATATGAGTGAGATCATACAGTGTTTGTCTTTCTCCTTCTGGCTTACTTCACTTAACATAATACCCTCCAGGCCCATCCATGTTGTTGCAAATGGGACGATTTTGTGTTTTTGTATGGCTGAATAGTATTCCATTGTATATATATACCACATTTTCTTAATCCAATAGTCAGTCGAGGGACACTTAGGGTGCTTCCACTTCTTGGCTATGGTGAATAATGCTGCAATGAACATAGGGGTGCATAAGCCTCTTTGGATTGTTGATTTCAGGTTCGTTGGATAGATTCCCAGTAGTGGGATGGTTGGGTCATAGGGCATCTCTATTTTTAATTCTTTGAGGAATCTCCATACCGTTTTCCATAGAGGCTGCACCAGTTTGCATTCCCACCAGCTGTGTATGAGGGTTCCTTAACAAGAAGTTTTTTTAAATTTTATTTTATTTTGTGAGGAAGATCGGCCCCGAGATAACATCTGCCAATCCTCCTCTTTTTGCTGAGGAAGACTGGCTGTGGGCTAACATCCATGCCCATCTTCCTCCACTTTATATGGGACGCCGCCACAGCATGGCTTGCCAAGTGGTGCGTTGGTGCGCGCCCGGGATCTGAACTGGTGAGCCCCGGGCCACCGCAGTGGAGCACGTGCATTTAACCGCTTGCGCCACCAGGCCGGCCCCAACAAGTTTTTTTTTAAGTCAAAGTCTAAGTAAAAGTAAGCTCCACAAGAAAATGTTAATTAGCATAGCAAAATGATTTTGCTTGCAGAAGGTTCCAGCAGCCTTTCTTTTTTTTTTTAGGAAGATTGGTCCTGAGCTAGTATCTGTTGACAATCTTCCTCCTTTTTTCCTTTTTTTTCTCCAAAGCCCCAGTAGATAGTTGTATGTCATAGTTGTACATCCTTCTAGTTGCTCTATGTGGGACGGCGCCTCAGCATGGCTTGATGAGCGGTGTGTAGGTCTGCATCCAGGATCCGAACCGGCGAACCCTGGGCTGCCCAAGCAGAGCACATGAACTTAACCGCTATGCCACCAGGCCGGCTCCTCCAGTAGCCTTAACAGACATCCCTGTCCACATCTTCAGGAACTCTGTGCAGAGCACAGGACTCCAGCTTCTCGCACTGACATCGTCCTCAGAGTACAAGGAACCAGAACTGAAATGGGTTCCTTCTGATAGTTCCAACATGCCTACCTCCTGTTTGCTGTGTGAAGTTCATATTCTTTAATATGTATAGAGGTTGTGAAGCCCTTTCGTGTTATCTCCTCTGATTTACAGATTAATGAGCAGAAGTGTCTAGAGTTAAGCTTGCTGGTGTGAACATGCACTGGAGATCTGACATCTACTCTCCCTTAGACTTCCTACTATTACAGGAATTCCAACCTTGGCAACTCAAAAGACTGATCTTAAATAGTTTTTGGGTTCAGCTGGAGTTCAGCCCAGTTCAGCTGGACTTGATGTAGTATTTACAACTGATCAGAAGCTTTTATTTATATTCTCAACTGGAAACGCTTAGTATGAGATGTGGTTCTCCACTTTTGCTCTTGATGAACTTGCTGTTCCATGGGTGGGTGTTCTTTTCCTGATTCTTAGAAGGAATTATGTTATTGGATAGAATTTTCTCAATTTTTTTTCTTTTTGAAGAAGATTGGCCCTGCGCTAACATCTGTTGCCAATCTTCCTCTTTTTCTTTTTTCTCCCCAAAGCCCCAGTACATAGCTGTATATCATAGTTGTAGAGTTGTAGCTCTTCTATGTGGGATGCCGCCTCAGCATGGCTCGATGAGCAGTGAGTAGATCTGCACCCAGGATCTGAACCAGCGTACCCTGGCCCACCAAAGAGGAATGTGTGAACTCAATTGCTACACCACCGGGCCAGCTCCTGAATTTTCTCAATTTTAACATTTCTCCCATGAATTAAAAAAAACCCTGTTGTATCTGATGGTATCTATACTATACTAGAATCTAGTGTAAGCTCATGTCTGATTTAGCATCAAATTTTAATTTTCATTATTTTAACTTTAATATCTCCATATTTCATGACGTTTTGCAAAGAAAGCCACAACTTCCAGGTGCTTTGCCATGCAACAAATTGGAGTATCATTAATAAATGGTCAATCATAAGCAACTAAATAAATAATTGGGAAACAAATCATCATGCAATAAATGCTGTTGGAACAAGTTGATAGCAATATGCAAAAAATATAACTTAAATACAGATCTTATAACATTTATGCTATATGTAAGGCACTTTGATAGATATTTGTAGGGAAGACAAAGAGAAATAAGACAAGGTCCCTGTCTTCAGTCTAGTAGAGGACACTGAGTATTAAGAGGTTAAGTGACTTGCTTGAGGCCATAAGCTAGTGCTGCTGGACTCTAATTAGTTGTTTTTAAAAATTCTAAATCTTTTACTTTTCTCGATATACTTCTTGATTCTCAGAGGCCACAATAAATTCCAGATGAGCTATATACTTAAATGTTTTAAACATTCCCATAAAAACCTTAGAAGGAAATGAAATAGACTATCTTAACTATGGAAGAAGATATTAGTAACAAGGATGGGTTCAATTACATTAAAGTAAAATATTCTATATGATGGACAGTAACAAAACTAAGATGAAAGGAAGTGCAACAGAAAGATAAAAACAAATAAAAAAATATATACACACAAGTCTTCTATCCATAATGAGGAAAGGCTGAGGAAAGAGGAGACGGAGAAATATTCCTATACGTTGAAATACAATTATGAAATGAGATATTGAAAAATGCTCAGCCACCCTGAAAAGAGCTTCAATTAAAACAATTACTACTGCCTTTCTATTAATTAGGATAAATCAAAAAGTCAAAAGACAATGTGGGAGTGGCCCAAAGTACGCAGATGAGTCGATAGGCTCCACCTCTCCTGAAGTGCAACTTGACAATAAATGACAAAAGCTAAGCAACTTGTTCCAAGGAACATGTTTAACGAAGTAAAGCAAAAGAAAAAAAAAGACAATTTGTATGAAGATGGATATGATGACAGTTTTTGTAGTAGAAAAATGCCAGAGGCATGATAAATATTTAATAATTGGAGAGAAGTTAATTCTGAAATATAAATATGATGTCACACCATGAAGACACCAACAAGGATAAATATGGGTAAGGTGTTGATAGACGAAAATTCAAAATTCAGAAAAAGAAGCAACATACAAAATAGCATACAACACATTGATTAAATCTAAATATGTGTGCACACGGAAAAGTTTATCATGATTTTCTCTTAAAATTTTAAAAATAAAAAAATTCAATGAGGCATGTAGGACAAAAATTATTCTTTCTTTTCTCTTCCTTTTTTTGGTGAGGAAGATTAGCCCTGAGCTAACATGTGTTGCCAATCCTCCTCTTTTTGCTGAGGAAGATTGGCCCTGCGCTAACATCTGTGCCCATCTTCCTCTACTTTATATGTGGGATGCCTGCCATAGCATGGCTTGATAAACAGTGTGTAGGTCTGCACCTGGGATCTGAAACTGCGAACTCCAGGCCGCTGAAGCGGAATGTGCGACT